TTGCACCCAGCCTTTTAGCACACAGCTTTTAAACATGTGTCGCGAGCACCAGAAAATGGGAGCATTTAATAACAGCCAGATGACTGGGAAAGAAAGAAGCGGTTGGCGGAAGTAGAAGGCACAGTGGTGCCAGGCCGGCCCCCAGGAGGAGGGAGTGGGGCTGGGCGAGCAGCTCGCTCACGCTCACAGCCAGGAGGTGTTGGGGGGCTGGGAGCCCACAGTCTCGCCTTGCACCCTCGGCTTTCCTAGGATGATCCTTCCTGGGAGAGTGGCCCAGGAAGAGCTTCCCGCAGCCCGGGATGAGGAGGGCCTCCTGGCGGAGACTGCTGGGGTCCCCTCTGCCTGCTTCCTGCCCTTCCTGTTGGACGAGCCTCAGCCGCTGCCCCCCTTGAGCAGATTAGGAACACGATGCACACGCCCGACACAGGGGGACCGTGACCTGCAGGCACACGCCTGGCACAAGGACAGAAGCCTGCAGACTCACGGCTCACACAAAGGTCTGAGAACTTTTTTCTTTTTGTGCTGGGGATTAAACCCCAGGGCCTTTGCACTGGGCAACACTCCTAGCACCGCACCATCTTCTTTTTGCAGCAGCAGCGGGAAGACAGTGTCACAGCAGGCAAGGAGAGCTGTCTCCGGGGACAGGAGGCCTGTCTAGCTCTCTTCTCCAGGTATGGAGAGCACAGCACAAGAGGTGGGTGTGAAAGAGCCTGAAGCACTGCGCTGCGACTGGACTCGGATTCTAGCGGGACTCCTCCCTCCCTCCCTCCCTGCTTTCTTCCTCCCTTGTGGCGTTCTCAGGTTGCTAAACACCATAGTTGTGTGATTTTCTTAAGACTCTTTGTTTTTGCTATAATTGGAAAAGAAAACTCAAACAGATAAAGCAAGGGCTAGAGAGCTTTTAGTGACCTCAACTGCTAAAGTATAACTGCATTGTTTTTTGGTACCAGTATCAAACTAGGGTCCTTGTGCTTGCGAGGCAGACGGCAGAACCACTGAGCTAAATGCCCAGCCTTAATCGCACAGTTTAATGTGATTTATCTGGTAGATCACTGAGGTCTGGATTTGTCATCCTAGACAAAGAAACCTATAGACTCCAGACCAACCCCCAAATTAAAATTTTATAGATATTTTCTTAGTTTTAAAGAATTTGCAAAGTATCATTTGTTAGGTCTTCAAGTTTTTCTGTAATTACCAAATTATTTTAAATTTATTTTTCATTGATAAATACAAATAAAAATTATACATATCCTTGGGATACCACATAATGTCTCAATATATGTATAATAATAATAATGTAATATGATGTAATAATAATAATTATTATTGTCTTTTTGAGACAGGGTCTCACTATGTAGTTCAGGCTGGCCTTGAACTCACTACGTATTCTAAGATGGCTTCAAACTAACAGTGATCTTCCTGCCTCAGCCTCCTGAGGGCTGGGATCACCAGTGTGTGCCACGACCACTGTACAATGTTTAAATCACGTTAAACATAGTTGTCTCCTCCAGCATCTCTCAGTGCCCTAGAGCAAAAGCTTTCTAAACCCTGTCCTGGGAGTGCTCTGACATGTGCAGTGCACTGCTGTTATCCACAGCTGCCTGCAGGGCAGCAGCACCCCGGATCTTACTCCTGCTGCTCTCTGTGACTCTGCACCCACCAGCAGGCCTCCTGCCCCCCATCTTCAGTGTCTGGCGCCCACCGCTGTGTCTCAACTTCTATGAGATCAGCTTTCTTAGATTCCACATGAGTGGATGCCTTTCTGGGCCTGGTTTACTTCACATAATGACCCCCAGATTTATCCACACTGCTGGCAACGACAAGACTTTGTTCTTTTTTATGGCTGAATAGTACTCCACGCTGCATGTTTCTGTTTGTAACTTTTCAGGGCCCTGCAGGCTGGCTCTACAACGGCTGCAGCAGTGTACGAGGGCTGCATTTCCCCTCGCCAGCACGCGTCACCCTCCATCCTGATAACGGCCACTCTGGCTGGGCTGAGGGACAGCTTACTATGGTTCCGAGTTGTGTTTTCCTGATTAGCGGGGCAAGCTTTCTAAAAGGTACCTCGCGGTCCCCTGTCCGTCTTCTTTTTGAGAAATGTCTATTTGGATCTATTGCTCACTTTCTAATGCTGGACCATGTTATATTTTGTCCATAAAGAAGCGACTATGTATTCCCGGTCTCCGTCCAAAAAGGATGTCAGGGAGCTTATAATAAAAGGCAATAAAACCTTTCACGAGGGAGGAAAGTGAGAAGGGGGTGAAGAAGCACACATTTGGCAGGGTGGAGACGCAGTGGGGGAGATTCCGCACAGAAGCCAGACTAAGGAAGCTCTCACAGCTGATCACCGACCCGCCTGGCTTGGGAGGAGAAGGCGGAGGCTGATTCCTGCTATGACCTGCAGGGCTGCATCCCAGGGAAGGAGCAGCCAGCCCAGGCCGTGGGTGTGGGGTCTCTGCAGCCGCTGGACTGCCCTGCCCTGCCCTGAGGCCACTGGAGCCGGAGAAGGCGCCCAGGAGCAGGTACTCAGCTCCACTTGAAGGGCAGAGGGGACTGGACGTGGAGCTCGGGGGCCGGGAGGTCCTGCGCTTGGCGGTCGGAGGACAGTGGGGGGACTTGCAGAAGGAAGGGGACGCCTGGCTGCTGTCAGCAGTCCGCACAGCCAGCAGGTGTCCGCCCTCTCCTCCCTGGGATGGGAACGGGACGCTGGGCTCTGTGGGGCAGAGTCTGCTCTCGGGACCCAGAGCAGGGGAAGGCGTGGAGGGAGCTGTGGGCAGCACCGCTGAGCAGCTGAGTCCTCAGGAGTGAGGGACTTGGGGGGGCTGGGGCTGAGTCACTGAGGCCGGCAGGGTCCCAGGAAGAAAGCAGAGTGGGGGTCAGAGAGGCGTGGGGAGGTGGGCCAGACTCCAGGGTGGGGGGGACCAGGGCAGAGCTGAGGCCTTGGGAGGGTGGAGAAAGCAGTGATTAAAGGGGAAGCCAGCTGGGTGCGGTGGCGCACTCCTGTAATCCCAGCACTCAGGAGGCTGAGGCAGGAGGATTGCCAAGAATTTGAGGCCATCCTAGACTATGTAGTGAGACCCTGTCTCAAAAAAGCAGAAAGAAGACAAAAGTTATACTCTTAGTAACTGATAAATACAACCACAAGATCATCAACTCAAAAGTACAAAACCTTGAGTCATTCTCTTGAAGCAGCATGAGGCATAGGGAACCCATAATCCACCTCACACTTAAAACGGGGGTCTGGAGTCCTCAAGGTGGGAAGGTCTCGTTTGACTGCAAATTTCCCAGTGATTTCAGCCACAGTTGAGTCTTACTCTCGCCCATCGTGGGAGCTGAGGTCACTGCACCCCCTGCAAGGGGTGTGGCCCCGAGAGTTCCAGTTTCCTACTGCCGAACAAATAAGTAGCACCTTGTGTACGGAAAAGAAAGAAAGAAAAGGAAGGAAGGAAACAGAAGGACGAAAGGGAGAGGAAGATAGGGAGGCATTTGCTGGCAGGTGCACGGGAGGCAGTCGCAGGGGCGCTGGCTGGGTGATGGGAGGCAGGCAGGGCGGCTGGTGCTCTTGTGGTCCTGGGGTTAAACCCAGGGAGCACTGAGTTACACACCCAGCGCTTTTAATTTTTATTTTGAGACTAGTCTTCCTAAATTGCCCAGGCTGTCCTCGAACTTGGGATCTTCCTGCCTCAGCCTCCAGGGTTGCTGGATTACAGGCGTGTGCAACCACACCACCCAGCTTGGTTGGTGTCTTTCAGGGGTTGGGGTAGGGCTGGAGGACTCTGCATGAGTCACTAAGGGTGAGACAGAGGTGAGGGAAGGTCGGCAGGCAGCGAGCAGGGGCGAGTCCGCAGGGAGGGTGGAGGAGAAGACACGGCCTCCTGGCCTCCTCGCTGCTCTCCCGAGAGGAGGGAGGAGAGGCTGAGACAGATGGGTGCGGTGCAGACCAGGGCCGGGCCGTGAGGGAGACAGTGTGAGCGCCCAGGATGGAGCACAACGGAGGCACCGAGGGCACAGGTCCTCCCAGCGCTCACGTCAGGAAGCAACGAGCACGCTGTGCTCTGGACAGGGGTGGCTCTGGAGAGGGGGGAAGACCTGGCCGGGCAGCGGGGCATGGCGGAGACGGGCTTCAGCGTGGACGGCCGACTTCCGGCCTGGGTTTAGGAATGAAGGACACGGACTCACCGGGGTCGCCTCTTCTTCCGGGCTTGCCGCGCCTTCCAGGGGGGCCTAGGCGGAAGACAGAGGGGACAGGTTAAGAGTGAAGCCCTGTGCTTGGGCGCAGCCTGCCCGCCGCCCACACGGTGTCCCGGGGCACAGGCCACGCTGGACGGCCGCCCCAGCTCCCTCCCGGTCCGTCCCTCCCAAGTGCTCCTAACTCAGGAAAAAATGAGGCTGTGGTGGGGCGCGGGGAGTTTTTTCATGAAAGCTCTAACTGTGGGATTCCCTGGAGTGAAATGACAAAGCCAACCGAAACACCGGGAGGGTCGCGAGCCCGGCCCTCTCCGCAGGAACCCTCAGCGCAGCCTGGCCCAGGCCCTGCCGTGCTGTGCGCTGCACGCGTCTCAGCGGCCCTCGCTGTACCCAGCAGAGGCTCTGAGCGTGGGTCCCGAGGCCCGGTGACCTGCTGTGGAAGGGGCTCTGGGCGCAGGATGCCGGCGCCCTCCACCATGTCCGCGCCTCCCGTCACTTCCCCAAGGGCTCCCTGCCTTCTGCCCTCTGCTCGGCCTCCCTCCCTAACTGTCCTCCATCTCCCGTTTCTCGTACAGAAGATTCTCAGACGTGAACTTGTGTGTCGCTGCTGCAGGGCCATTTCTCTGTGACGTTTACGCCGCTGTCTTGCCCACCCCGAGTGTGCTGGGCCCCGGCCAGCCTGGAGGCCCAGAGGTCCGCGTGGGACGGTGCACGGCTCTGCCCTTTCCTGCAGTCAGCCTCACAGACACAGGGACCCTCCCAGCCACCGCAAGAGGGACGCAGGGGCCGCCCACAGGCCGATGCTGGCAGCGCTGTCCGGCAGTCAGGGTGCCCTTTCCTCCCGCTGGTGGCCCCCACACACAGTAACTAAGGCCTGTGTCGGGCTGGGCCGCACCCTCGGGTGCCTTTCTCTCCTCTGCTCCCTCTGCTTCCAGGGCAAGTGAGCGAGTGCGAGCAGGGAGCCGTCCTGTCCAGGGCTGGTGGGAGAACATCCATCCTTCATCCACATTTTGGAGCTCAGCAAGGCCCTTTGCCCTGGGCCTCAGGCTGAGGTGCAGGACACAGCAGGAAAGGGTCCTGAGTGGGGGCTGTGTGAGGCCCTGCCCGGACCCGCAGCTCGCCAGCACCATGGCTTTCTCGTGGCCTTGCTGGGCACAAGTGTCAGACTGTCTGAGCCGTGCCAGGCACCGTGGGCTTCACGGAGGCGGGTTCTTGGGGGCTGTGGCTGGGTGGCAGGCCCAGTGGAGAGGGATGCTTCTGGGGGGGCAGAGTGGTGTGCCTGAGGGCCTTAGGAGAGCTCCGAACAGGCCTGGAGCTTGGGGTCACGGAACTCCACGCAAGTGGAGGAAGAGAACGAGGCTGCTCACAAACTCTCACCGAGTCGACCCCAGCCAAGCATGGAGGCTTTTGTGCGACTAACTCACCGTCGGACAACTGGTCTACCAGGCGAAGGCTAGATTTCCGCTCAGGCAGCCGGCCCGAACCCAAACTCATTCTCTCTAAGTGCAGGCATGGCCAGGCCCCAGGCAGCCGAGCCGGGTGCCACCTGGGAACTACACCACTGCACCCTCATCCTCAGGCCCGGTCTGTCCCAGGCGAAGGCTCCCCAGTGCCCAGCCACTCTCTGTCCTGTTCACCCTTTCTGCTGGGTCTGATTCCTGCTCTTGATAGCAGGGCTCTCACCAGGGGGTGCATTCTGCCCCCTCTGTAGCTCTGTGTCCCCCGCTCCCTGTCCAAAGTGGGGCCAGGTGACTGGGGCTGAGCCACGGAGGAGGCCTCAGGTCCCCTCTCCTGCGCTCTCTCTAAATGACTGCCGAGTCCGTGAGAGGCAGGGCTCAGGACGACCCAGAACCACCTGTTTGGCGAGCACTGGTGGTTTAGACGAAGAGCCTCTCTGTCCTTCCTGTAGGAAGGAGACCTGTGCCCTTGTCCAGCAGAGGCCCTGGGAAAGAAGGAATGTGCTGGGCCCCAGGTGCACCGCATGTGACACACAGGAGGATGGGACTGGGCCACCTGGAGGAGGGGAAGGTGGGACGGGAGCCCTGGGTGACTTCCCAGGAGCCGAGAACCCACCATGGGGAAAGCCCTGGTCCAGCACCTGTGCACACCAGGCTGGCTTCTCATCTAGAGGACAGCTTGGACCCTTGGGCTGCAGGCCTTCTCGGCTCCCCCAGGAGCCCATCTGCTCCCCAGTGTCCTCTGAAGGAGGTGCCAGGGTCCCCAGAGCCTAAGCAGGTGAGGCAACAGGCCCCGTTGCCAGTGCCTTCTGGAGACCTTCACGGTCGTTTTGCGACTAACAAGCTCCATCCAGGCAGCTGCGTCTGATGGGCTGAGCAATGGGCAGCAGAGTGCTTGGCTTCCTGGGAAAGCAGGCAGCTTGGCGGCAGCACACAGGGTCCCAAGCAAGCCGACCTAGGGCCCTGCCAGTGTTTCCTTGGAGTCTGTTTTCCTTCCCTCCTTTCTACAGGTGGGAGACCCTCTCCCGTGGCGGCCCCTGACTCAGACACTCAGCAGGGCACCTGGGAGCCTGCCGTGATTGACCTGTCCGTGGAAGCTGAGGCTTCAGGGGCAGGACAGGACTTGCCCAGAGATGCTGCTGGACACACTGCCCCAGCTGTCAGTCTGCAGGGCCAAGACCAGCCAGATCTGGGGAAATGGCACTGGCCCCAGCTCTACACAGGATCCGTGTACCTGTGGGCTGGAGTGGCACTGGTAGAGCCTCCTTTTGAGAGCTGAGGGTGACAGACATCGGCCGAGGTGCCTGAGCAGGAGGGGCCTGACTGCCTGAGGAAGCTGCCCACGCTGAGCAACTCACTCGCCCCTTGGGGCCTTGTGTCCCCAACCCGCAACAAGGATTTGATGATGGTGGTGACTCTAAGTAACTTGCAGAACCAGGGAACACAGGAGCTGGCAGCAGAGACCACCTGCGGCCCCAACACGAACTGCTCAGAGGGACTCTAGGCCACCAGACTCCAGGGCTTGATATCAGTGGATTCTTCTGCACACCCCAGGCCAGCACTAGCTCCACACTGGTTACCTCGCGGACACAGCTCAAAGCCGGATGCTGACACCCCTCGACCATGACCTTATTGTCCTTTCTTCCCCGTCTTTTTCCCCTTCCCTTCCTGTGCTCAGGATGGAGCGGGCCTTGTACCTTCTCTACTCCTAAACCCTGCCCTGCCCCACAGTCCAGGAGCCAGCTCGGCCCCCACAGAAAACCCAGGCTTCTCCAGGTCCACAGTCACCGCTGCCTGAAATTCTGGGCACCGAATGCAGTGTGAGCAGTTTAGGGTGGGATTTCTCTATGAAACCCTGAGGTTTTGGGCGCAGCCCGGGCCAGTGGGGGCTCAGCTCATTGCTAAATGACGCAGGACACCTGTGAGCACCGTCTGCGTATTCACTCACTCCAGAAGGATGGTGACTTTCTCAAGCACTGGCTGAGGACAGACAAAATGGAACCGCTTCTAACTTACAGCAATGTCACAGAAATGTTTGGGTGAGCCGGAGACCCCCACTGCAGAGAGGCCACCGACAGGCTGAGTAGAATGTGGCCCCTGTGGGGACGGGACACGACTGCCCTTAGGAGGGAGGCCCGAGACCTAAGGGCATCCCTGCAAACACACCGTGATTTCAGGTACATGAAGTTCCCAGGATGGTCAGGGTCACAGGGCAGGAAGTGGCAGGGTGGTGGCTGGGCTCAGGGGACTGGGCAGCCGCTGTCCAGTGGGGACAGTTTCACCTCAGTGACTGGGAGGCTCTGGGGATGGGCGTGCCGGTGCCTGCACGCAGCGCGCGTGGACCCACACTTTTCAGCAGCACCTGGCATGGCTGAATGGCTCACACTTGACCACACCTGACAAAACCCATGGACCGGGCTCTCGGCGAGGCTGCGAATCAGGTTAGCCCGCAGCTGAGTGTTCACCACCAGCTGGCAGAGAAGACCGTGCGGCCCCAAGGTCATGGTAGTGCACCGAGGTCATACAGGGGAGAAACGGCAGGGCCAGGTTCAGGCCAGGTTGTGGGGCTCTAGGGCCCACCCCCCAGCTCCCTGCGACTTTGCCTAGGGTTGGGCTCTTTTTATTGCCCATGCTGCACCTGCAGCTGTGCACCCACTTTGACCGGGCCCTTCGGAAAGGCCCTGCAGCCCGTCCCTGACCTTCAGCCTGGTGCCCCTAGGGTGTCTGCGGCCACGCAGGGCACACACCGAGCGCTCCCAAGGCAGGGTCATGGAAGTAGCTCCCTAGACTGCCAGTTTTACCCCACTCAGAGGGCAGCACTCTGCCACACGGGGGGCTGTTCTTCTGTTCACTTCCAGCCTAGCGGAGGCATCAGTAAGGGGCAAGGCAGCAAGCAGCGCGGGGGCTTCTCCTGGGCTGAGCACA